GGGGGGGGGCGTTGGAGTTGCTCTTCAAGACCATCAGCTGGGAAATGAGGTGACAACATCGATGTTGACAAATCTATTAGATGTAAAAGAGCGATGATAACAAAGGGAGCCGGATAAAAGGCGCTATAGAGGGCAGAGCGGAGTGTGAGCGGCCACTGATGGGGCACTTAGCATGAGAAAGGCGAGGAAATGGGATGGGAAGAGCCGGCTGATCCCTACACACACCGGCCAAACAGGCAGCCCGGCCATTCATATTCAGCGGCCGGAGGAAAACGACATTCAGCCACCGACTGTCCCTCTTCATTGTCTGAGAGTGAGGGGACCAGACCGAGATCCAGAGTACACCCCGGGAGATCCAGTATAGGGATCAGAGACCTGCCTCCATGTCCCCCTCCCATCCCTATCATACCTGTGTCTGTGTCACTGCCATCTACTCTGTCTCCTTCCCACTCTGTTCTATCTATCTATCTATCTATCTATCTATCTATCTATCTATCTATCTATCTATCTATCTATCTATCTATCTATCTATCATATATTATTTCTTTTGTATTTTTAACCCCGTCTCCTTTCTTTCATTCTTTGTTTCTTTCTCTCTTTCTTTCTTTCTTTTTCATAGTTCGTTATATTATTTTTTTATTGTATATTTCTCCAATATCTGATGTCTATCTATCTATCTATCTATCTATCTATCTATCTATCTATCTATTATATATTCCATTATCTCTCTCTTTCCTTTTCTCTTTCTTTTTCTTTCTTTCTTTCTTTCTTTCTTTCACATAATTATATCTGCTTATCTTCCCTCTCTCTCTCTCTCTCTCTCTCTCTCTCTCTCTCTCTCTCTCTCTCTCTCTCTCTCTCTCTCTCTCTCTCTCTCTCTCTCTCTCTCTCTCTCTCTCTCTCTCTCTCTCTCTCTCTCTCTCTCTCTCTCTCTCTCTCTCTCTCTCTCTCTCTCTCTCTCTCTCTCTCTCTCTCTCTCTCTCTCTCTCTCTCTCTCTCTCTCTCTCTCTCTCTCTTCCCCCCTCCCCCTCACTCTCTCCCTCTCTCCCCCTCACTCTCTCTCTTTTTAATTTTTACATTGCATATCCTCCACCATTCATGTTACATTTGACTTAATATACTTTTCCATGCTCGGATCTCATGTGCCATTGATTGCGGCCGCTCTATTTTCCCTCTCTGCATTAATTAAAATATCCATAATTGACACAGGGATCAATGGCTTCTCTCCTCTTCTCTATTAACAGCCCACAGCGGAGTGTCAATGGCTTTTAGTGAGTCGTTAACCCCGCGCAGCGGAGGCCGGGGACAGCGCCGCCTAGCGGAGGGGTTCGTACCGGACTACTCCTGAGCTGTGACCTGACACCCACATCTTGGTGAGGGCCGATGGATCTGTGAGCCTTTCCACACCTTTCCTGTTTTCTTTTCTCTACTCTTCCCCCTTTCACCATCTACCTCCTTGTTTTTGCTGTTTTTTCTACATTTATTACTTCAATCTTGTTATTTTTTCATTGCATCTCTCTGTAATTCTAAATATTTACACCATCAGGAAATCTGCTGACTCGGCGCATTGTATTATTTCTAAAACGAAACTTTCTATGTTGTATATTTGAGGTATTGCTTTTGCCATTTGTATAAATATATTTTGTTTTGCCAACCCAATCTTTTACAAAATTGCCGATTTGAAAGCAATTGACCAATGATGATGTGTTGTGGTTGTTTCAGCAATGACAACGCCTCTAATTGGTCTGTTTCATTTCACTTTAGTAATGACTCAGAAGCAGTTACAAATTTTATATCATTCTTATTAATATTATTATTTTTGATCTGCGCCTATGTCACGGTTCAGGGGTCTCTCTCTCTTTTTTTTTCTTTTCTTGTAAGGTGACAAATCTGACATAAATGATTTCGTTTGTTGCTGTTTTGCTGAACACAATAAAAGTCAAATTAATTGATTCATACCATTAATTACTCTGCTTAGCATGAAAAAGCGAGTTTCACGTCTATTAGGGAGCTATTGTCGGTGTGTTCATGTAATCTCTTGTAGCATCAGTCACACAGGGGCACCTCTAACCCCATCCATATCCACAACTTTATTATGCTATATGTTTAATACATGCAAATGCATATAAATATATTAAATATTATACAGCTGTAGATATTAGATTCACATGCAAACATATTTAAAAAAAAACATATTTTGCTATTATTCTATATTGATTATTTTATCCATCGCCTTCCTTTGACAATGATCTCCTACTCTAACTATATTTAAATCAATCCTCCAATTAGCATGATTTGGGAAATCTACTACTATATCGCCGTACAAGGCAGTCGTGTATCCCATCGCCCCCTCTGTAAATAGCATGGTGGATCTATTGCAGAGTTCGCACGGCTAACAACAATATTACATATAATTGTAGGTTGCTGTGCGCCTGGCCCCGGCCGCTTCTCTGCACACAGTGGATTTAAAGGGATTTAAGGCACAGGGGATGAACCAAACATGTCCGCTTTTATCTTGATAATCTTATTACTTCCCCTTATGAGTTATTGCAATCAGTAAGAAGGTTTTGTGCTTGTGGCATCAAAGGTTAACACGAGCTGCAATGACACCGATCACGGAGGTAAAGGTTTGTCCGGGCGAATTGCTTATTTCGCCGTTTTACAAAATCTGCGCAAATTGCGAAAATTTTAATTGAACCGAAATTATAAAAAATGTTTATTTTTTTTCCTGTGTGTGCAAAATTCGATATTTTTTTTTAATACTCCAGAGGGCCCCC